CCAGCACACACGCGAAAACAAACGAGAGAAGGGGGGTGGCACAGAAGACAGGAGGAAGAGAGGAAGGGGTGCGGGGGTGAGAAAGAGAGAGTAAAAAAGAAGAGGACAAGAGATAGAGCCAGCCAGAGACAAAGGCAGACAGAATGACAATGGATGAAAAGAGGAACAGTGGGGAAAAAATAAAATAGACAGGACGAGATGAGGTGAAAAGCACATTGCCAGCTCACCGTGTGCATTCACAGGGCGACAAGAGAACACAAAGACAGTAACAATGAGGATGTGTGCATGCATCGGTGATGTATGTGTGGATGCAACATTGGAAGGTGCATCAACAAGGCCGTTGGGGAAATTTTCCCCTCACCACTGAAAAGGGGATGTGAACCTACTCACTTCTGTTCACATTTGGATTGGCTTCACCTCTATTGTTAATAAAAAGGGAACTGACTTAGGGGAGCTCATGAAGTGTCCAGAAGCAATGATAACCCTCCATTTTAATCACTGATTATAAAGTTACACTTTTTCAGTGCTGAAAAAGGAATACAAATCATCCAAGTTCTTCTCACATTCTAACCTAAAGCAAGAAGTTATCTTAACAACAATTGTTTCTGTTTCAGCAGAAAACTGGAAAACACGTTCAATGGTTGCTAACTGTTGGATTGAGGGGATGTATAAATATGAGCTAGGGTCAGGGGGAAGGATAAAAATGGGAAAGAGAACAGGGAGAGGGTAGAAATGAGAAAAGGAGTAGAGGAAGGGTAAAAATGAGAAATGGAGTAGGGGAGGCCACAGGAGGCACCTGGCCCACTTACAGCAGAGGAGGGGGTGGTGGAGGAGGAGGAGGAGGAGGAGGAGGAGGAGGAGGAGGAGGAGGAGGAGGAGGAGGAGGAGGAGGAGGAGGAGGAGGAGGAGGAGGAGGAGGAGGAGGAGGAGGAGGAGGAGGAGGAGGAGGAGGAGGAGGAGGAGGAGGAGGAGAGTTTGAAGATTAAGGAGTGGGAGGGAAAAGGAGAAGGTGGATGAAGAGGAATAGCAGAGAGAGGAGGAGGACGGAAAAGGTGAGGAGAAAATAAAAGGATGGGAGATGAGGAGGCAAGAAATAAACGAAGAGTTGAAATAATGGGAAGGGGAGGAAGGCAGAGGGGGAGGTGAGATCAGGAGAGACAGAGAGGAGGTGGGGGCTGGAGAAGAAGAAGAAGAGGTGGCCTTGTGATGCGGAGAATGGAGGTGGTGTGTGCGTACGCTGGATGAATGTGTGCGTGTGTCTTTGTGTGGGTGTCTGAAATTATGACGAAAAACTAACACCTCACCCAAAGTATGAATAACCGACCACAACAGGCCAATGAAGGTTCAATCTTCTTCTCCCAGCACATTGGAACAGCCTGCCTATACCACTAATATCCCACTAATACCACCCACAGTCCTCGCTCCACCTCACATCAATGAATATTTCATGTCCTGATGGCACTTTTAAAGCAAAAACTAATTAGCAAATCCAAGTTGATCTGGCATTAGTCATATCAGGCCAATTAAAAGCCCAGTCCTACTGTACATGTTAATGGCAGCGAAGTGGAATAATTGTATGTTGAGCAGGGGAGAGAATGTTAAACAGGCCTTGTTAGCAGCACTTTAGCACTCTAGCCAGAGTCCATGGCTGGATTACAAAACTCTACAAAGCAGGATAATGTTCGTCAGAAACACACACAGAGGCACACACACGTTTGAAAGCGCCAAATGAAAACTCTATCCATTAATTACAGTGTCGCCATCAATTCCATGGAGGTCAGGTCTGATGCTTATAGCTAAAGAAGATAAATATTTCCAGGGAAAATTATGGTTTTATGCTTTGGTAATAATATTAAACAGGGATCCAAATATTGGCAGAAGCTCACAGGTCAGATGTTAGGCAGTATCGGTGGGAGAAAACCATTTTCTTCTCCACACACTGTTTCTGCGGTCAGCTCCAGTCAACAGAAGGTTATGGAGACAGTTTTTGTATGGTTTTGAGTACAGAAAGGTGATGGTTCGTATTTGAGTCTTTCCAACCTTCCCTCTGGTTGTTTTTTTAACGCAGGAGTTTAGATTGAGACAGACAGCCACACACAGACTAAACTGTGCTGCACACAAAAGCGACAGAATAACAAGGGCTAGAACTCTTACGGAGTGGATGTCTGTTTCATCACACCCCCTCCCCATTTTCTCCCCTTAACGTTCCCTCTTTTCCTTCCTCTCTCTGCCTCCCTTGTCTCCCTCTCTCACCTGAGCTTTGATATGGAAATCTCTCACCAGCCACAGCCCGAGGCTAGTTGACTGTTTCTAAAGATGTATTTGCTCAAAGCCGCTCAATTTCTCATCAAATACTCACACTGTGTGTATAAAAGACAAACTCTTTCACTCGGAAAAAAACAACTAACAACCGCATTCAAATACAAGGCTTTCAGCTGTCGGTTCACTGCAAAGACATTTTTTACCAACCAAAACCTTCATTTCATTATGAGCTTATGAAATGGGTCTAAAAATATAGTGATCCTTCTGCAAAATGTATAGCTGATATGACTAAATATTTGGTAAATACTTTGTGTGTGTATCTTTGTCTCTGTGTGTGTAGACAGTTCTTTCCCCCTTGTTTACCAGTCCTGCTCAGCTAGATAATTATACTGCAATACGATGCCCAACCTGCACATCGGAGACATATAAAGTGACAAGTGGAAACCATTAAAGAACAAAAGAAAAAGTGTAAGATTTTCCAAAGTAGTTAAATAATTTAGAGTAAGTTGGAAAGCCTGTTTAAGAAGACAACATATTTTGTCCGTTCCTGGTGAAAGAATGAAAATCATGAAAACAATAACCGGTCCCTTGTCAGTTCATTAGTGGAGTCATATCAGCGGTTTATAATGAGGAAATTAGAATCACTAGGTCACAGCAGATCAATGTAATCTTTCAAAGAGTTGTGAACAGTGAGAAAACACATTTGACAAGTTTCAGTCAGGATATCTTTAAACATAAGGTGAGTTTTAGTTTGGAGGTATTTCAAAATTCAAAGCATTATACATACCACTATAAGAAAGTCACATTAATGCTAATTATTCTTTGCAAAAAATATAGTCTGGAGATAATATATACTTTTTCTATCCTTTACATTTTCCTTTCATTTTGAGAAAGCTAATTGAAATGCATTAACCTGACGTGTGAAATTACTGCCATCCTCACTTTAATTGTTGCAATATTTGTTATGACAGCATCTGAAAAAGTGAAAATCCACAGGTAATAAAAGCAACAATTAGGAGTACACATAAAGAGGATTCTATTTCAAGGCTGGACCGACGCTGGACATTGATGCAATTGGTAACTGCTGTTAGAAAATGTTGTAAATTCCAGAAAAACAATTCATGACACTGATAAGCATTGTGTGATCACGAGGCTCTGGTTGGAGTGAGTTGGTATGCTCTGCATTCCTAAATAAAAGAAACACACACCCTGATAAAAACACAAACTGAAAACCATCTTCTCTTTTCTCAGGAATGTGTGATCCAAAAAGGTGTTTTGCAAAATCAACAACTCCTAAGAAAGATTCTGACAACCTGCCGTTTTCACTGAATAAATGCCCTCTTTGCATTTATTTTTTTAGCAACAATCAAATTATAAATACGCTTCTGGACTTTCAATTCTTGTTTGTAGATTATACAAATTAGAGGTAAAGCTGAAAATTACCTCCTAATTTAAAATTCATAGACAAAAGAACAAAAGGAAAGAACAAGAGAGCTTATTGCTTTCATTGACATTCTGCTTTGCGTGCAGGTGCATGCCCACACACACACACACACACACACACACACACAGAGCTATGAAATATTAACACCTACGTGAAAAGACAAGTGGGGTGTTGGAGAGTATTCCTGTGTGGTGAGCGTGTGTGTGTGTGTGTGTGTGTGTGTGTGTGTGTGTGTGTGTGTGTGTGTGTGTGTGTGTGTGTGTGTGTGTGTGTGTGTGTGTGTGTGTGTGTGTGTGTGTGTGTGTGTGTGTGTGTGTGTGTGTATTTTGAGGTGGGAATATCTTAAACTCACCTGTTCTATCTGCTGGGGGGAGGATGAGCTTGTCAGATAGGTGGATAGGGAAGACAGCTGTTACACACAAACTCTCCCACACAACCACACACACACCCCCCACAGCATCCGTGTAACCCCACAGGGATTAGGAACACCTGTATTCAGCACTGCACAATGAGCTATAGAGGCAGTTAAGCTAAAAAGCCTTGGGAGTTATTAGGGGATGGGGGAGGGAGCTGCTTTGGATACGGAGGTTAATGTTCGCAAAACTGTCTTGATTCCAAATCAGACGTGAGAATGATAATATTCACAGTGTGACAAATGGAAGACAGAGTTGTCAGAAAACTCAGGAGAGCCTTGGCGTGTCATGTACGATGTGTACACGCGAGTGTAAATGGTTCATTTTGCAGTGTGTTAGCCAAACAGGTGTTCCCATTAACAAGTGAGCTCCGAGGGGGGATCAGGAAGAGAAAACTGGCAGAGAGAGATAGAGACAGAGATGAATGGAGTACAAGGTGGCTAACAGGGAACAAATGAGTGCTTAGGGATCATTTGCCCTCTTTTTGTCTATATCTAGGGAATGTACACCAGATTTAAACTTACTGCTCAGTTTATTGTCAGGTTGTCTATAAAAACATTTACTCTTGTGAGGGGGTAGCACACTATCCTCAGGGTTTGCGTAACTTAAACAGACTAACCTGCTACCACACAGTTCAGGAGTACCACCTACATACCAGCAGGCTTACACACACGCAAACAGTGAAGAGGCAAGTGTCACAAGCTCCAAACCTGACTCCCACCCAAACCAAGCCCCTCGTCTCATATTCTCACCCTCTTTTTACACCCTGACACACCCTCACCATGCACACAAATCCAAGTGAGTGACAACTCCACCACTTTCAACAAATAGCACATCAGCTTTAAACCAAGAAAAACCTAAAAAATATAGATTCAACTCACCTATAATGTTTAATCAACTTTAAAAAGGTCCATTCATGAGAGATAACACAAGAGGGAAAGCGCTTCAAATCCTCCTTTGCAATCCCACAAGCACACGAGCAGCTAATATTTTTTCCATCTTTCGGCCGATCTCGCCTACACTACTCCTCCACTCATCCTTGTAGCTGCTGTCTTGGTCTGTATTATATTTTCCCCGTGGAACACACAGATGGAGAAGGTGCAGACACACACAAAGATACACACATGCACACACTGATGTCCACTGCTCTTGTAATGGAAACACTGCACAGATCTACCTCGGGGGAAGAAACCTCAGTGGTTGAGCAGGGGGCAAACACACAGACACAAAGCATTCTGGGAGATGTTCCGAGCCTCGATGCCAAGGTGTAGTAATGCCATTATAGTTGAGGATTGTCAAGATTTAAAACAAAAGATAAGCTACCTCCTGTTCGATAGTTACAAAATGAGCACGGATGAACATGCATTCAACACGAGCTTACAGTAATTTAATTACTGAATAAAGACTTTGGAGGGTTTAACATATCAAGCACCAACCCTTAACTCCACAGCAGGGAGGACAAAACAAGCAGACAAATCCAGTGAGGTTTAAGACAATTTGGAAAAAATCACTAGATTGTCTCTTAATCCAGTTAGCCACTGTCAAACAGAGTAAGATGCTTGGATCTAACTGGCTGTACTGTTTCAACTCAAACTGAGAGTGTGAACTTAAAAGCAAAGTAAAACATGGCTGGCTGGCACTTTTAAGTTCCTCAAACTAGGATAAAATAAAAACACAGAGACTATTCTGGAGAGGCAGAGAATCTCCTATTAAATGTGTAGTGGTATATAATTTGCCTAAAGTTAGCAGAACGACTGAGTTTCTGTGTTTTCAGTGGATGTACATTTACTATTATCTACTCAACAACAATGCTTTGCATTTCCCATAATTAAGTGTAATAATTAAAGTAAACAATAAAAAAGGAATCTGTGGGTCAATCTAAGCTGGTTTTATAAACAAAGTTGGGAAACCCTAGTGCAGAGATGATGATTAGCTGAGCTCTGTGTTACTTTGACAGATTATTTTGTTGGAGACTCACCTGGCAGCAGGCAGCGCTGGAGGAGCACGACTCACTGTTTACACATATGAGCGTGAATGAAGTGGGGCTGTTCCCCTTTCTCACATGGTAAGCATGGTAGAAAATGGAGGAAGACGGAACTGACCGGTTTGAGAGGGCAGACACAGACAGCAGACACACACAGAGCAGGAGACAGACAGGGAAGCTGCGAGAGAGAGACGCTTTCAGCTCCAGTCGCCAACAAACACTTGACGCCACACTTTAACTCTCGGATCAGATAATTATCAGCGGTAGCTCAACAATTAGAAAAAATACACCGACAGGCAGCATCATCTGCAAACAAAATCCCCCCTCATCTTGTCTGATACTCTGGGGCTGGGTGTTGACGCAGCAGAAATGTCCAGCTGGAGAAATCCCCCTTTTGGAGGTTAATCGAGTGGAGAAGGAGGAGGGTTTAAGCCCTTGTCTTCCAGCCTCTGAGCGCTTTCATTTTGAATCCCCTCCAGACGGCTGCACGGAGCATCACCCTTTATTTTGTGTGCCATCATGGTATCTGTGCACGACAATTTCCCCCGCAGCCGATGTAGGCGATAGGTTGTCACGCTGTTCAAAACTTTGCAAATTTCCCCAGGATCGGCTGTTTTCATTCAACTCGATCAGCTGACAGAAAGCCAAACAGAGGATCACGTATGTTCTGAAAGTGTTGCATATTACTGGATATCTAGCGGGATATTTCTTAAAAGTACAAAGAATACATGTGTGCAGGAGGTGTATGAAATGTATTTAAATAATATTTGCGCAACTGCGTTATCCATTTAGTTAATTGCATGTCTTTTAATTTACATTTTAGAGCAGTTTGCCAAAAATAAACACAAGTCTAGACAAATTAAAGTAATCATCAATAGCGTTTTCCCATTGAAAATCACCTGCCTGTGTTCTCTGATAGTGTGTGAAATGTACAATGTGCGAATCAACGACTGACAGCGTCTCCAAATATCAACACGCGCAACAGACAGCTGGCGATCACGTATGGAACAGGTAGGCGTACTTTCAGACTGTCGCCTGCTCACTCGCCCGGCTATTTAGCTGTCAGAAATACACTCATGCCGTGGCTAACATGATGCCAATGGACGGGAATAAAAGAAATCAGCGGAAACATAAAGACAGGCCTTCATATACAGTAGCTTTTCCGACGGCCAACTGTAACAGCGCAACGATTTCGAGGAGTTTCATTGTGTCATGTCTCCAACCTGTGCGCCTACCAACTATCAGCTGTAGACGCGATGGCTCCGAGGCACTAAACTAATTGTTGACATGATATAAACGCATGGAAATCCTGCTATACCCGCCACCGTCTCAATGAAACCTGTTAGCAGAGGATCGGGGCTCAGTGCTGGTAAAAAAAAAGGGAGCTACTACTGATATAAGGAAGTCAGACATACCTGTTACCCCATGGGGTCTGGGGTGGACGCGGTGTCGGTCCTTTGGAGTCCAATCTGGTGTGACAGCCTGGGAGAAGAAAGGAGGGGATGTCCAAAGCACTAGGTACTGTCCTTCCTCTCCTCTGTATGCTTTCTTTAAGTGTTATTCCCCCTGTTTTCTCCCACTCCCCGCTCTTCTTCCTCCACCAGCCCCTTTTTTCTCTTTCTCTCTTTCCCTCCCTTGCTTTTCCGTGTCTTGGTATCAGGAGCCTCCCCCTCCTCCTCCTTCTCCTCTGTGCATTTATATGTCTCTTTCTCTTCCTCTCTCACCGTCTCTGTCTATCTCACTCTCCCCCCTACACTCACTCTCCGCTCTCTCTCTCTATCTCTCTCTCTCTGTCCCCGTATCTCCTCTCTCTCTCTCTCTCTCTCCCTCTCTCTCTCTCTCTCTCTCTCTCTCTCTCTCTCTCTGGGCAGAGTCAGGAAATGAGACAACGTGAACACACACACCGCGAGTATTCATCTGATCTAAGGCGAGTCCCACTCCTATAAGACTCCCTCAGGCAAATTATATCATAAATAAAACACGACATAATAATACTAAGATGACTTAGTATTATTAGTATTATCATTATTATTATTTTTATTATTAGTATTATTAGTATCATTATTATTATTATATTGTGGGCTAAGATGTGAGCAGGGAGTTGTCATGAGTCTCTGGTTCATGGGGCTTCTGGTGTGTGCTCTGTTGCCATAGGGCTCAGTAAGGACCCCAGGCTTACTGTAACGTACCCCCTCTTGTGGCACAAACAAGAAAACACCAGTCAGTCACAGTATAAAAATACAACACTGACATTTACAGTTTGACACTGTTTGGCTGGAAAACACCGCTCTGAGCCATGTGATGTTCTACATGCAGGCCGGTTTTTGGTAAGAAGTCTGGGGTAATTCCACCACCCTGACCTCTCCCCTTCACGCATGATGGATTTTTTTCTCATTACACTTTGTACGTTATAGGGGAAGTTATGAGGGGGCAAACCTTTTTGAATGCTTGCAATGGACTATAGAGAGATTTGGGAAGCAGTTTCATAAACAGCTAGAAATAGCTAAGTAATGATGCAAGGGAAGAATTTAAATTAATTAATGTAGCCAAATACTCAAAGGTGAAAGAAGTACTCAGAACCTTTACATTTGTTAATGTACCAATAAAACAACATACAAATACTACCTGTTAAGTGAACTTGCAGTAGCCAGAATACAACTAAATTGTTTTTGATATATATCAGCAAAATATTTGAAAAAGTTCAAAAAAAAGAAATGTTGCAGAAAATAGCCCTGGTTATGACTCTATTATCTTTTACATGTTATCAGATGTCAGTATGGTTTCCTCAATTGGAATACAGCATTTAAGAGTTGTAGATTGGATGTGTGTCTAGTTTTTAATTCCTTACATTAAGTTAGATAGTTTAGTGCAAAAGATAATATATTAATTGTCTGACAAATAGCTTAACTACTAGTGTTCAGAAAAATGAAGTGGAATAAAAAGTACAATATATTCTGAAGTACAGTACTTGAGTAAATGTACTTTTCACCAATGAAAGCACTGTATGTAAGGCATTACATACAGTACCTTACATACAGGCATTTGACTCTGATTAAAATAACTGGCAGTACAGTATAGGACTGCCTATTTATTTTTTTAATGATTAAGTTACATTTAGTATTGTTGGCAGGAGTGTGATTGTTCAATTGTGTGTAAATGTCCGTCGTAATGCGGAACCGTGGAGGGGCTTGTTTCTCTGGAAATAATGTGCTGTAATCAGGAATCACTTTAGGTTTGAGGAAGTGGGAAAAGTTTAAGGGGAAGAGAACTGGTGGCAAAGCATAATGTGTAGTATGTGTGTGAGTGTGTGTGTGTGTGTGTGTGTGTGTGTGTGTGTGTGTGTGTGTGTGTGTGTGTGTGTGTGTGTGTGTGTGTGTGTGTGTGTGTGTGTGTGTGTGTGTGTGTGTGTGTGTGTGTGTGTGTGTGTGTGTGTGTGTGTGTGTGTGTGTGTGTGTGTGTGTGTGTGTGTGTGTGTGTGTGTGTGTGTGTGTGTGTGTGTGTGGAAAGTGATGCGCAGCAGGGGGTAGAGCCGTGCCTCCATCAGTCTGGGTGGCTGGCTGCCGAGGGCTGGATAAGGGAGAATGTCAGGCCATGTGGATTAAGGCTGTACATATCGCTCTCTCTCCCTCAAAATTCCCCAAACACAATCCCTGCCTGAAACAAGCTGCTTTACTCAGAGCCGGTTCCCTCGCCAATGAGGCCTTGCAATCCGCCTGACACGACAAGCATGACCCCGGCCCACCGCTGCACCACCTCCTCAACATCAGCCTCCTGTCTCTCTCCCCCTTTCCCTCTCCCTCCTCCTCTGTCCGCTCTTCGATGGGTTTAGGCATCATTAGGCCACTTACACATGTATTCATTCCTAGGAACACTCATCACAACAATCCACTCAGGAGGGAGAGTAGTGGTGTGAGGGGGCAAGCAAGAATTCTGTACGACGGTGGTTTGTGTGTGTATGTGTGTGTGTGTGTGTGTGTGTGTGTGTGTGTGTGTGTGTGTGTGTGTGTGTGTGTGTGTGTGTGTGTGTGTGTGTGTGTGTGTGTGTGTGTGTGTGTGTGTGTGGTACTTATGTTCACAAAGGGTCCTTGAAACACAAGGTGATGCGTGTGTTGTGGACTTGTGTGTGTGTTTGCATTTGGGAGGGGGGTTAGTGTGTCAGACTGAAATGCTGCTTATCCAATGGGACTGTCCCTCTTCTAGAAATTATTGCTTGTTGTTTATACTTTAATAGTTTGTATCTAAGGCTTGGGATAAAGCATTTAAAAATCAGTCAGACGAGAGAAGAGACACACATCTTTGCTCAGAGCAGAAGTGAGACCAGATCCCTTCGTTATGACTTGCGTTTGAATAGCTACAAACTATGAGCTAACGCAATTTTGGAAAACTTTTTGAAGTCGAGTATTAATTTGCTCTCCCAGCGTGCCCCCCTGCTGAGGAATGCAGCGGTGTAATTGGTCACATCAAATTAAACAGCAAAAAATCTACAACTGTCGTAAAAATAGCACTTGGCTCTTTCAAAGCCACATACTACCCTTCACTATCAATTTACCAAGGGGAACAGCTGTGTGCTGCCTCTGCCATCCTAGCCCTGCTTGTATAGAAAGCAGAGCCTGCAGCTGGAAAAGCACTATCTCTACCAGGTGCAGGCAGGGGATGGGGGAAGGCTTTACAAAGGAATATTTGGCACAAGGTGTGAGACAACAATATGTGTGAAGGTGCAGCTTAGTGATACTCAAATCAGTATTGGGAAACGACAAGGCTTTTATAAAGGGTCCACCCACAGAGGGAAAGAGCAAATTAAGAGTATGGGAACCAAGAGGTAGGAAGGAAGAGAAGACGGAAAGAATTGAGGGGCAAGAGGTAAGGAAGGAAGGATGGCATTAATAAAAAGTGGAAAGGAATCCAAAGAATGAGCAGATTTCTTAAGGAAAGTGATAATGAATGAATTGCAATAAAGAATGATGCAAGGAGAAGCAGAAT